GTGTTTCCATTCTTTTTTGAATTAGAAATAAGAATATTTATCTTCATAATTAGCAAAATCAAAAGGTTGACGAAAACTGAAACATTTATACYTAGATTGTCACCTGATAGGTCAATTCTCGGAAGTACGGCTCGAGAAGCAACACCCGAAAATATTATCTTTCCTAACGTTGGCCACTAACGACAAGCAAGCACCCACTAGAAAACTTCCGTCTTTTATCTAATCAGTCGAGAGAGTCTCAATACTTTCATGCAAAAGCAACAGCACAATTTATTTATCATTACTTTCTGTTTTGAAGAGATTCAAAAATAATTAAAAAACAATTAAAGAGAAAAACAAAGTAAGCGAACCAATGAAAATTTATTTACCTAGGGATTTCCGCAAAGTGAACTCATTTATCATATTAGTTAATAGTTTTTGCAAATGTCATTGCTGTCGCAATGCTCTAAGGTGCCATACTATTGGACGGCGTTATCTGTGGTAAAAATAGAATAGTTCAATAAGGCTTTGATAAACAGTTATTTGACACAATATTTATATATAAAGAGTCGAATTCTGAGTGACAAATCAACAGAACGAACGATGATGTGTACATGGAAGGTGCTGGCTGTTTGTCTGCTATTGCAAAGCGTAAGTTCAAGTTACTTTAAGRGATCGGTTCGGGTGTACTTTTCAAGAAATATAATAATAACAATAACGCTGCTTCCAGGTGTACGCTTACCTGCCGTTGAACAATGAATCACTAATCCCGAAAGGTGTCGAAATATTAAAAGAAAATGCTGAAAAATTATTCGAGGCGTTATTTCAGCCGTCACAACGAAAGGATTCATCTGCAGGCGACTCTGCGCTCCTGGAAATATGCGGTGACTTGTATGCTGAACAAGTCGAGGCCACTTTGTATAATGGCGGATTTGTCATAAGGCAATGTATTCGTGACGATATCTACATACTGGAAGCCTACATGAAGTTTCATGGCGTTGAGAAAATACAACAGAAATTTCTGGAAGGCATTGAAAGATGCTCTCTGCGCAACCCAACGAACGCCAAAATTAAATGCTATTCCCATTTGGTAATTAATGGTGTATTTACTTTCGTAATGGAAACTTTTGATTTTACGAATTATTTGTTTTTATTTTATATTCAGATTTTTAAGCTTTTCAACGAACTGAACTATGTTTCGGGTGATATACCTTACAAAGAAGAAAATTGCATAAATATTAAATTGTGGCGAATGGTGAGCAAATTGGCGAAGGTATCCGGTAAATACGAACGCTGTTTGTCAATTAGTAGCTCCAATAATAATACATCACCGCCACC